TGATTTATTTAAGATGGAATGATCTATTTATTTAAGATGGAATGATCTATTTATTTAAGATGGAATGATCTATTATGACATGTCCCTTTGTATTTAGATTCATTGTATTTATTTTCAATTTTTCGAGTTGAATTGTTTTCCTATATTTCATTATTTTATATAATTATATTACAATAAAATTTGTATTTCATATAAATACTACCTTATGAAAATTGATATGTAACAGACTGAGGACCCCGTATCATAGTAATCATTGATAATTGAACATATGCCTCTGCCAAATATTCTGCTAGACAAACGTGTCAACCATCAAGCTATGGCGGATATACGTTACAGAAAAATGATACATCTTACAGAAGGTTGATTCAGACAATAAATTTCCTTCAGAAAGTGAAAATGCAATGCTGCCGTAATATTAATACAAATCTTCAACGGTGAAAGACGCAGTGAAAATCATATCCAGTAAAGCTAGCAGTGCTTCCCGAGACAACCGAGCTAATCGTTGCTCTGTAACTGGCGTATGCGGGTGCAAATCAAGATAACGAGTCTCGTGACCTTGATATCAGAGTGGCACTCAGCCACGGCAGCAGTAGGTGTGTCTGGAGCAAGATCGCCTGGCAAAGCCCATGTTTTTTTTATGTTGGTTTTGAATTCAGTTATCCTTCTCTCTAAACGGATCGCCCTGTCAAGGCTAAAACGCCTGGTCTGCCCTACCATTTAAAGTACGTCTTTATGCTAAATCTATACTTACACACTTCAAGGTCTGCTTCGGCGCTGAGATCATCTATTTTCTTTGAGACCAGAGTTTGGTTTTCGAAGCCTGTGTTTCGAAAGCTTATTTTTAAAGCAGCAGGAACTCTGTCCAATTGGACAATTGGAGAAAGACAGTTTTCTTAAACTTCATTTCTTCTTCTTCGTTTCTCTTTGTGCTAAGCTAAGCTTAGTAAATACGAATACTTCGCTTAGTCTTTGACGAAACAGTTTCTAAACCTAACAGGAAAAATGGAACCCAAAATCAAAGCTCACCAATCACTGTTCCGTAATAAAGAGAAAAACATGGCGAAAGAAAGAAAGATCGAAAGAAAAAGAAAGGAAAGGTGTGAGTTGTAACGAGAAAAGGGGGCCAGAAAGAATGGATGAAAATGAAAAGGGTAAAATAAATCAATAAATAATGTCATGAAATATACGTGACTTGTAGACAATGAGAGAAAGGCAACAGGAGAAATCTGGTCACGTGAGTACATTTGTACCTGATTACATTTATTATATAAACCTCCCAATAAGCTTCTTATATATATATATATATATATATATATATATATATATATATATATATATATATATATATATATATATTGAAGCTTGAATAAGCATGGAATAATAATAATACAACACAAAAATGTACGTAACAAAATGTATTGAAACAATGAAAAAGGTACACAATATTTACAGGTAGTTTTGGTATATTCTTGGGAAGACTGTTCCTGCAGAATGGGTTGACTAAGTCGCAGTCGGGCAGAGTCTCTGGATTCGATCTCTTAATCTTCCGTCGTCTTCCGGTACCAACCCATATTTATATGGTCGGTACTCCCCTTATGTAAATTAGGTGTATCATACACAACATATATATATATATATAAAACAGTAAGATATATAATCCGGTGTTCTTATTGATATTTTTTATTTTTACAAAACATTGCTCAATGTAAATTTACAGAGCATAAATATTATAAATTAACTGATTTAAAATATGGTTTCTTCGCTATATAATAATAACTATGTAATTAATAACTATGTTTCAAAAACTGAAGCTAAAAACCTCAAATTTAATTATATAATTAAATTAAAAGCATTAGTTCTGTTTCATCTTCAAGCGAATTTTGGAATAACTTAGTACTACGCAAAAGTAAGTCAACTCTAAGATAATATTTTTTAAAAATTGTCTCTTTTTCCAGATGAGCAACATATCTTAATTATATATATTCATTAAGAAAAATCTTTATTTAACGAATTATAACCACTTTCAAAAGATTTTATCAAACTGGAATAAAAATTTTAATTAAAAATTAACATGTGCACAAAAGTGAACCCTTACATTTAATATTTAGGAAGTCATCCTTTTGATGTCGCGATAATATATATATATATATATATATATATATATATATATATATATATATATATATATATATATATATGTATAATTTTTAAGAAGTTTCTGGCAGTAGCGAGCGTCAATTTTTGACTCTTCTTGCAAAACTCCCACAATTGCTTGATATTTCCTGGTTTCTTGTATGTACTGCCTTCTTTAACGTGAACCACAGATTTTTCAATCGGGTTTAGATCAGAACTTTAACTAGGTCATTCCAAGATTCGAAATTTCATTTTTTCGAAGACATTCTTTTGTGGATTTACTTTGATGCTTTGGATCATTGTCTTGTTGAAAGACCCAGCCCCGAGCTAAACCCAACTTTCGAACCGAGGGCAAGACATTTTCATTCGAAATTTCTTGATATCTTACATCGTGCTATTTTGTCTGTTCTAGCTGAGGCAAGGCACCCCCATATTATAATACTGCTGACACTATGTTTAACTGTTGCCACCAAATTAATCTATAAATCAACCATTCGCCCTTGTATGGAATACTGCTGCCATATGTGGTCTGATGCCCTCACTGTTCGCCTTAAGGTCCTCGACAAAATCACAAGACGGATATGCAATGTGATTGGCCCTGATCTGGCATCTCGTCAACAGTCGCTCTCTCACAGACGTGCCGTCGCCTCCCTCTGTCTTTCAATATATACTTTCACGGTAAGCTACTTTCGCTAGTTCCCAGACTGCATGAATTTAAACGTGCTACTAGGCTGGCATCACGGTCCCGCCCTTTCACTGTCGAAACTGTTAAATATAGGCGTCTCTTCTACTCTAATAGCTTCATGCCTCGCACCTCCCGTCTGTGGAATTCCCTTCCTATTACCTGCTTCCCTGATAGCTATAGTCTCCAACTATTCAAATGTAATGTCAATCGACATGTGCAGATGCCTTGATCTATTCCCTGTCCTTCTCTTCATCCTTTCCTCTATCACGCCTCTTTACTCTTGCTTCCACTCTCTGTTATCCCTTGCGTGCTAGTGGCATTCCGCCTTGCTTGGGGTGAAATGCTTAAAAAAAAAGCTGTACTAGGAGCTTGTCAGACATTCCGTCTATCCTTCCCCCCAAAAAGCTCTAGTTTGGTTTCAAATGACCATAAAACCAAAATGTTTCTATCTTAAAGATATGAGCATTGATAGAGTTGAGCCGAGCTTGTTTGTGCTTTTTCGTAAGCAGTTGCTTTTTTCTAGACATTCTGCCACGAAAACAGGCATCGTTCAGATTTTGTCGCACTGTAGCCGTATGCACATTGATTCCAACATTAGACAGCGAGTCTTGGAGAACCGCAGAGGTGCCAGCAGGAATCGCCTGGGCTTCCCGAACTAGATGTCTACTTGCTCTTGAAGATATTTTTCGCGGACGTCCACTTCTTGATTGCAATGCCGTCATCCCAACAGCCTTCAATTTATCAATAATTTGTCGCACGGTGGAGACATACACTTCAAATCGTTGTGATAGCTTTTTGTAGCCTTATAGGCTTCAACTATGAAATTATTATAACTTCAGGAACTTCCTTTGATCTTGGAATATTTTTCTTTTAAATTTAGTCTCTAACTGCACCAATTTTGCATAGACAATGAGCTATATTGGTTGACTGCAGTAAACACAGAATACCCCAAAAATAAACACGTGTCATTTCTACACGTTCACAAAAGAAATATTTGAACAGGCAACCATGTAAAGCAAAAATACAGAGTTTAAATGTAAGGAATCAGTTACTTTTGAATATGTTATTTTCATTCCAGCTTAATAAAATTTTTAAAAGTCGTTGCAATTCGTTTAATAAAGATTTTTCTTAATGAATATATAGTTTAATTAAGATTTATTGATTATCTGGAAAAAAGAGACAATATTTTTAATATTATCTTAGGGGTCCGCATACTTTTGCGGAGTACTGTATACACACACTTTAATACAACTGTTTACTGGTCTAATTCAACTCTGACCATTAACTCCATATATATATATATATATATATATATAGCCATCTACGGACTGGCTGTTTCGCTGTATCATAGCTCATCAGTGTGGCTAGACATCAGATTGACTCAAGCCAGGATCGAAACCCGACTGATTTGGCATTAGTCGGAAATTTTTCCCCTAAACTATCAACTCTCGGCAGAGAGGAAGGTGAATTTTTACGTATTTATTTTTGAATAAACACGCTAGTGACTGAGAGTACTCGATTCATAGAAGAGTTTTTTCTTATCAGCAGGAACAGTCACTGTTTACCAATGCACACTTTCCTCTAAAGTAATCGATATATATATATATATATATATATATATATATATATATATATATATATATATATATATATGAAGTTAATGGTTTAATTCAACTCTAACCGTTAACTTTATATATATATATATATGTGTGTGTGTGTGTGTGTGTGTGTGTGTGTGTGTGTGTGTGTGTGTGCGTGCGTGTGTGTGTGTGTGTGTGTGTGTGAAGTTAATGGTCAGAGTTGAATTAGACCAGGAAACAGTAGTATTAAAGAGTGTTCAATACACATATAAAAAGATCAAAATTTAACATGTAGAGCTTTTACGTATGGAAAATTATTAATTTTTCTACACACACACAAAAACACAAACACACACACACACACACACACACACACATCATGGAAATACCAAAAGATCTATATCAGTTGTGTTCTTACATTTGTTGAGTCAGTGTGCGACACGAGCAAAGCTGCTCTTAACAGAAGGCCGTGAAGTACCCGAGGGTAGATGCCAGAACATGTCATTTCTTAAAACTGTGTGAAGATTTGGCATCCCTCGATCTACGCTTGAGTACCGAGAATGCTTGATGGAAGGCATTACCGCCCACCATGTAAAGGTGCAATGTTCTTCTCCTCCTCCTCCATCTTCTTCTTCTTTATGTTTCCCAGAACGTGGACAATTATGAATCTCAACAACTTCCCCTTGTTGCTCTTAATAAATTGTGTCTTTCTGTTATTTCTCCTAAACCTACTTCCGCCATTCATTTACTTAAACTCACTAAGTATGTTATGCGTTGTTTTCCTCTGTCCCTCTTGCCTTCAATCTGTCTTGTGAGTATCATATTTTCCAAGTACTCTTCTTTCATTATGTGCCCTAGCAATTTTAACTGTCTCTTCCTGATGTTAAGTATAAGTTTTCTTTTTATTTTCATTTTCTCTAAAACTTCGTCGTTGCTCACATGTTCGGTCCATCGTAACCTCAGCATCCTTCTGTAGAACCAGATTTCTCTTGCTTCAAGTCACTTGTTCATCTTAAAGGAGATTGTCCAGCACTCGCTGCCATATAGAAGGACATATATCACGTAGCAGTTTAATACTCTTTTCCTTGTTTCTTGCGAAGTTTTTCTATTTCTTAGTACTCTGTTTAGCTTTTGGAAGGCATCTTTGGCTATCTTAATACTCATTCCGATTTAAGTGTCGTACTTTTTGTACTGTGTTAAAATACTTCCTATATATTTAACTTTTTGTATGTGCTTGATTTTGGTGTTTTCCGATTTGCAATTCGCACTTTCGGATCATCCTTTTGCTAACAACCATGCGTTCTATCTTTTTGAAGTTGATCCTTTCTTCTCGCTTTCTTACACTCGCTTCTGTAGGGGGTTTTGTAGTTTTCTTTCCATGTTTGCTATCTACACTTTGTCATCTGCATGTCTTATATTGTTAAGATTGTGGCCGCCAATGATGAATCCTGGTAGGACCTCTAATTCTCTTAGAATCACCTCACTGTATAGGTTGAAAAAGTCTGGTAAGAAGACACATCCTTGTCTTATACCCTTTCTTTTTGAATATCTGCTGAACTCATTTTCTATCCATATGCAGACAGTTTGTTGCCATTATAGGTTTTTGATTATTCTAATATCCTTTCCAAACATGTAAAGGTTGCTGAGAAGTTTCAACAGATCTTTGTGGCATACTTCATCGAGCTTTATCGAGCGTAAAAAAAAAACAGGTATAAGTCCTTCTGCATTTGTACTGCCCTTTCTGATAACATTCTGAGCATAAATATTGCATCTCTTGTTCCCGTGTCTTTGACGACCCCATTCTATTCCCAGTCCTATTTTCCGCCCAATTCTGCTGCATGTTCTATTCATCAGAATTTGGATGATGTTTGTTTGTTTTTTTATATGGCTCACTAGGCTGATTGTCCGATGACCTTCACATTCGTTTTCACCTGGCTTCTTAAGCAGCGCTATGAAAATAGATCTACTTATGTCTTCCGATATATCACTATTGTTGTTGATTTCATTTATAATTATCGTGATCAGAGGCAGCTGGCTAGAATTGTGATTCTAGCCAGATGCTGGTTTAAATCGCAAACAAATTCAATGCAAACAAATTCAATACAGAAGGTGCTAGACGCAAGTACCAGTCGGTGGGTTCAGCGTTCTTTAGCTTTCATGGGATATAGCAGCAGAAGGCCCACCAGATCAGATACAAATTTCGGCTCGTGACATCACTAACTGGACCTTGGAGGAATGGTATCGTCATAGTTCCTGATGTTTCGGGCTGATGGTAGGATTCTAATGTGGCACGGAAGGCATCTGAAGGCTAGTGGTGGTTCCGAAATTTATATACTTTAGTCCAATGCAAAGCCAAACGAGAATAAATTATGATAGATTGTGATGTGTCTATTTTCGATTTGTAATGACTTAGGCTACTTACCATGAAAATCAACATTCAAATACCTGGGATCGAACACCGACAACCGTCCCTAGAATGATATACGCAACTATTTAACTTCTTTGGGTTGGGTATCGATGTATATTACGGTTAGATACATCTGGTACAAAGCTAAATAGGAGAAAAATTGGTGTCGAAAAGCTGTGTTGCGCTCATCTTCAATGCCATTCTGCCATCAAAATCAGCATTTATAACCTAAATTAGTTGTACTAGCTGGAAATATGCAAATTACGTCGACATACTTGAGTTGCGTTCCACACGTGAGTCCACAATAAAGTGTTTATTATCTTACGTAATATGCAAATATATATTTACTAAGTTTAGATTGGTTTGTTTAAGAGCTACAAGAGCTGAGTACCCTATGAGGATCAAACTCGTTACATGAGCAAATGGTTTAGTAGTTATCTTGCGAGCCATCATTCTACGCCATCCTCCCGATGTAATATGCAAATACGTGAGTATGAATTTAAACTTTATATTTATGTCTAGGTTTATTGCTTACTACCTATACGAGGCAGTGCTATTGATGAGTGTATGTGCGACAATTATTGTTAGCATTAGTGCAGAATTTTCGAAAAGTTGGAAGACAGACACAAACGATCTCACTTGCTTTATTGCAACGAATTGTTTCCGTCTTTTATCGTCTGCCTTCAAGCAATAAAGGAATTCGAACGCTGTGCAAAGAATCCTATCTATATTTTCTTATTATTTGTCTTCCTGTCGCCCTCGTTTACTTTTTCCCCCTCTTCTTTCCTCCTTCTTTTCCCCAATTTCCTCCTTTATCTGTTTCAATTCCTTTCGATTTCTCTTCTCTATTTTCTTCCTCTTCCCTATCCTCATCCTTTATTTATTCCTCCGTATTTCCTTACTTTCTTCTTTCTCCTCCCAATTTTTATCGTTATTCTCCCTATCTTCCTCTTCCGCTTTCTTCTCTTTTTTTTCTCTCACCCCCTTTACTTAATGTCTCTCGCCACTTTGATCATACTCCTATTTATTTTTGTGTTTCTTTCCTTTTCTTCATTTTCTCGTCCCCTTCTTTACTCACAACACTTGTCCTTTTCTCTCCCTTTCTGTCGTTTTTTTTTCTTTTCTTTTCTTTTCTTTCTGGTTTTTCTAATCCTGACATAATGAACACATGTCATAATTTTTGAATAATATGTATGTATTTACGTGTATTTACAGACGGTGAAAATCAGACTGCAATGCTTAACATCATCATTTATGTGTTACAATTTTACTCAGTGCATCACGTTCACACTCGAATGTAATAGCTCATGAAACGAGTAACCTTCAGATAACCCCGATAATAGTTGATCTATATAATTTGAGCCTCAATTCTTGGTGTTTATAGCTATAGAGATGGAAAAGTTACCATTATTTGACAGGAAATGAATTCTTGGCTTGAGTTGGAAATTAAGATGTCTCTGTTCGACAGCCATGTCGAGGTCATCAGATAGAAATTATTATTATTATTATTATTATTATTATTATTATTATTATTATTATATAGGTACCTCCAAAGAAAAGCGATACCTAAGGTTTTTTGAAAAATAAAAAATATTTCTTGAAACTTTTATTTATTTTTAATTTCAAGCTAATAGATTAAATTTAATATTTCTAATAAGTAAAATACTTTACTGTATTTTAAAACGGATTTAAGTTGATTGTAATTATTTTTTTTAAATCGTTAAAATCGCTAAAAATCAGCCATATTGACGAATATATCAACACAATATGATTCTGTTTATTAAAACATCTTTCAAAATAAAATTTACCTTTCTGAAACTTTAATTGAGGAATATTACCTGATTTAAAGTTTAATTAATCTGATTTTAAAGAAATATTACTTTTAGAAAATATCGCAGAAAGCATTTTTTTTTAACTCTGAGGTTTTTATGAGGTGTTGACAACTTTCTTGTTAGACTTATGTTTGGGAATTTTTTCTACTGCAACACTTACTTTGGCTTTATAATCTGTCTTACGAAGACGCTCGTTGGGGAAATATTAGAAAATAACCAATAAATTTATATTTACTATGGTTACCGCTCTTATTTTCTGATCATGCCATGTATTGACGTCTGTATTTACAAAAATCATTATTTATACACACGCAAAACAATTCCAAATTCTTTTTAAAATACTAGGCTCGCTGAATTGTTGTAAGCTTTTCCAGTTACAATTGATAATTATAGTTTTTTATTAATAACAATATTACCTAACCATTACAAATTAATATCAAATTTTAAAAGATTTAAAACTTCATAAATTATTCTAAATGAATAAAAATGAAAACAATTCTTGTAAAAATTCATTATTCATCGAATTTCTTATGACAATAGTGTCCATAATATATCTTATTTATAAAAGCAATTAAAAGTTTTTCTAATTTAATAAAGTCTTAGTTTTATTGCATTTTTATTTTACGATTCAGAGCAGACTTTTTGTAACTGAGGGTCATGTTCTATAAAAAAAAGTTAATGATTTATTTTAAATTCTCGTAGGATTGTGCTTAATATAAACATTAAGCCCTACATAAATTAATTTCTAGAAATTTCATAAAATTAAATAAATGGTGCTAACATATATATATATATATATATATATATATATATATATATATATATATAAAATTTTGCCAAGATTTTCTAACATTTCTAAAGTAATTTGATTCATTTGTAAAAAAGTCCTGAAAGTTTTATTAAATCCGACAATTATTTGATTTTTGCAAGGATTTCCAAATGAATGTGTTTTTTTTTTTACGGTAAAAAGACGCTAAAATTTCTCATACTAATTTATGGTCACCCGTTGACACAAGAAAAACAAAATGTGTAACCAAACTTTTGAAGGTTCTAAAAAGGATTAAAAATTATAATTTAATAATAAAAAAATCCCCTGGTTTTTACTCTAAATAATAACATACAAATGTTGACGATAAACTTTTGTTTATATTAAGTTTAGGGTATTTTTTCATCATGTATGCTAATTTTTTGCGAATCTTTGGCGGTACCTGTATTTAACGTATATTAGCACTAACAAATATGTCAAAACTTTCATTCAATTTACCGTTAATTATTTTGTTATTAAGACAGCAAGTTCTAGCGATAATAGAGGAAAATAAAGCAATAATTCAGTAATTTTTGTGACGATTGTATTTCAACTTGGTATATAGAGTCATAATTTTTTGCTTTTCTTATCATTATCTCTTTATTTTACAATGATTCGGCAAATACCCTGCTTAACTTTTCTCCGCAAACTATCTATATATCAGTAGAGAAAATTTGAGAAATAAACACCGTATTTAACTGGGGGTTTTTTTGTTGTTTTTTTTACTTTAATTTTAATTTAGCAAATATTAGCACTCAATCTCTGTATTTTGTGTATTGAGAATGAAGAAAAAGGGATTGTCAGTGGTTAGGAATTTTTAAGCCTAGCGTTACCGATAGAATAGGACTATTATATGTATGAAAAAATTATTATACACGCAATTGTCGGATATTTATAATTCTGCATCAATAGCAAACACTGAAAATCTCAGAAGCTTGAAATTTTTACGATTTAAATTAAATTTTTTTTTGACGTGTCTGTGCATGAAGTCTAAACCAGATGTTCCCAACCTTTTTTCGTCATCGACCACTTTCACACGCAAAATTTTCCACCGCCCACCTGTATAGTAAATGTTCAAAAACAAACCAAAACTCTTTGGTAAAAATTTGATCAGTGACATGCGTGATGTATTTATTGTTAAGTGCCATACATGATACATGCTTGGCTGATCATATATCTTTCGATACATGACGACGTAGATCTTTTCCCTCAGTAGGTTGGCATTTCTTCTACAGTAGACTGGTTGCCAACCAAGGCTAAAGAACCCAGTCTGTCCTGCTATTCAACCCATAGAAGAAGAGATGGATTCATACCTTTCCCAGGTAAATCTAACAAACTCGACTGGAATTCGAACTCAGCTCTCTAAGTTCTCACTCCGAGCCGATATCCATTACACCACAGATCATAAACTGACTTTATGATGCAGTAAAATATTCCAAAGGGAGGTAAGAAATAACACTGACTTAAGCGGTTGCTGCTGCTGCTATTACCGTATCAAACAACAAACGAAAGCAAACTTGACCATTGAAAAGTATATATATATATATATATATATATATATATATATATATATATATATATATATATATATATATATATATATATATATATATATATATATATATTGAAAAAGAAAATAAAAAATTAAAAATTAAAATCTTTGGACACACTGGGTTGTAGATTAATATTCTTTCGTTTTTTTTATTATTATTCTATTATGGTTACCTGGAGAAGTCTTCTAATTTACAGTACCATGATGCTATATATATATATATATATATATATATATATATATATATATATATATATATATATATATATATAATTTAGTTTTATGGTCAAGGTTAGTTTTATGGTTGACTAAAATTAAACGATTTTTTCATAATTATAGAATTAAAAAGAATATACACTATTAACAGCTAATAAAAATTCAGCGAATATTTTTTGTTGTTTTTTGGTCTTCCTTATTTGATTTATATCCGAAAATCTATTTGAATGTTAATGACCCTTCTCAAAACTATAGAAAATACTAAAATATTCGTTCTTTTCGAGGATATTTATATCTTATCTAATGACCCAATTATTTCCAATTAGCCCCCCCATTTTGTTATGTTTGTTTTTATACAGGTGCTGTTCATATCTTTTTTGAATATTATTTTCGAGTAGCATATAATGAAATACCTTTTTAATACTCAAAAGCCTATATCATCCACCAAAATGTCCAATCGTCCTCCATTTTCTGTTCAAATGTTTATCGCCTACCTCGACCATCGGTGGGCGGCGTCGCCCAGGTTGGGAAACCTTCGTCTAGTCAATTTCATTCAGTTTCCTTATGCTTTTGTTTTTATCTTTTCTTTTCTTTTTATGTGCTGTGTCCCTTCGGGACGTAGGCGATCATGGCTCTACACTTCCCCTATCCCTTGTAGCTCTCAATAATTTTCGTCCTTCTGCCGCCTGCCCCAGACTACGTTCTGTCATCTACTTGCTTAAACCCACTAGGTATGTCATGCGTTCCTTCCCCTTGTCTCTATTCGACCTGTGAGTATCAGATTTTCCAAGCCCTCCTTCCTCATTACGTGTCCCAGAAATTTCAGCTGCCTCTTCCTGATATTAAGTATAAGCTTCCTCCTTGTTTACATCCTCTTCAAAACCTCATCGTTGCTCACACGCTCGGTCCATGATATCCTTAGCATCCTTCTGTAGAACCATACCTCCTTTACTTCGAGTCTCTTCTTCATCTTTGAGGAGATCGTCCAACATTCGCTGCCGTAAAGAAGGACAGATGTCACGTAGCAGTTCAGTACTCTTTTCTTTGCTACCAAAGAAACCCTCCTGTCTCGTCATACTCTGCCTAGCTTTTGGAAGGCGTCTTTGGCCATCCCAATACGTCTTCGGATCTCAGCGCCGGACTTACCGTCTTCTATCAAACCACTTCCCAGATATTTAAATTTCCGCATCTACTTGATCTTAGTGTCCCCGACCTGCAAATCGCATTTCGGGTTCATCCTTTTACTGATGACCATGCATTCTGTCTTCTTGTAGTTTATGCTTAGTCCCTTCTTCTCGCTCTCCTTCTGTAGGAGGTTTTGTAATTTCTTTTCCGTGTTTGCTATCAGTACTGTGTTATCTGCCTATCACTTTTACAATATTTTATAATATTGTATCGCATATTGGGATAGAAGATCTAGCAAAATGATGTCCGTTGTTATTTAATTACAGTTAAGTTAATAGTAGAAGCACATAACACATTATCCCTGTTGCGTTCAATCTGTCCTGTGAGTATCAATCTTTCAAAGCCTTCTTTCCTCATTATATGCCCTAGAAATTTCAACTGTTTCTTTCTGATGTCATATATAGTTTCCATTTTCTCTACAACTTCCTCATTGCTCACATGTTCAGTTCATGGTATTCTCAGCATCCATTTTAGACATCCTTAATCAAATCCTAAGAATCTGACCTGACATCTCGGCTTCAGTCACTTTAACTTCCACCTTAATTTAGCTTCCCTTTGCCTTTTCTATAAATACTTTCTTGGTAATTGTTCTGA